ATAGCTGACAATCACCTCCTCTTCTCTCTAGGTAAGCTTCCTTGAGTTAGGCTGGCAATCGCGTCGCGCGCGCTTTCCAGCGCGCCAGTCAATTAGGGTTAATTTTGGGATATTAAAGACTGTAGCAGCGCGTCGCATACTCTGAATTTGGGCAGAATCTATAGATAAGAGAGCAAGCTGAATATCTGCTTCATTTGACTGCATGAGAGGAGCGCGGCGTGGAGGCATTGTGTGTTAAGATAGAGTAGGTGATCAAAGTTGGTGGGGTGACTGATTCGCTTGTCTGACCGACTCGCTTGCCAACCATGTTAGAGTAATTGCCTTGCTTAGCTGCCTAGGCAAGGTTGCAGAAAGAGTAGTAGCAAAACGCCTTAGAACTCTTGCAGAAACAACAGCTCTTCTTCACCCCTCACAACTAGGAGAAAGAGCACCAAAATCCCTAATAGACGCATCTATACTGCTGCTAAACTAGGTCTAAGAGCAAAGAAAACTAAAACGCACAACCTCTACAGTATTCCTAGATATTAAAGGTGCCTTTGACTATGTTGCTTTAAACTAGCTACTTGCTATACTACAACAGCTACAGCTACCTTGCAACCTAATAGCATGGGTTCAATTATTCCTATCTAAGCGCTAGCTAAGACTATCCTTTAATAGAGAAACAGAAGGCTTTAGCAATATTATAGTAGGAATTCTACAAGGCAGCCCTGTCTTACTAATCCTGTTTCTAATATATATTAGACCTCTGTTTTAATCTATTACAAACTACTCCCTATCCTACCTACACAACATAGCAATTACAGCATTATCTACTAGCCTAAAGAAGAATATCCGCATACTAGAAAGAGACATAGCAAGCCTATTTGCTAAAGGGGCAAGCTGCGCTATACAATTTAATGCAGCAAAGACAGAGCTTATTCACTTTACAACAAGTAACAAAGCTATTAGCTCTACACTTACCCTGCTAGACAGGTCTACTATAGAGCTAAAAAAGACAGTAAAGTGGCTAGGAATCTACTTTAACAATGCACTCTCCTTTAAAGAACACGTAGCTACAAGGATTAGCCAAGCAAGAAACGCTTTCTACAGAATGTGCAGACTTAGAAATAGGAATAGAGGCCTCCCTCCTAGCGCTATAAGACAGCTATACTTAGCATGTGTTTCTAGCATTACAGATTATGGCTGCCAGGTCTTCTAGAAACAACAAGCAGGAATAACAAAGCAACTCTAAGGACTGCAGAATCTTGCCCTAAGAAAAATCCTAGGAACCTTTAGGACCTCTCCTATAGCACTACAGGAGACAGAAGCAGCACTTCCTCCCCCTGCTATAAGACTAAATACTGCTCTAAGAAAGTA